GATTTTCGGAGTTACATCTGTTATATCACACGAAAAGCAGAGAATCTGTATGTTCTCAGACTAGTTTTACTAGTTATATTAGTTTATTAATTTTAAAGTCATTTTACTTATGACCTGATTAATATCACTATTATATAGCTCTTTTGGTTCAAGGACTTCCGATTGACTCCTCATCCATCTATTTATGACTTATAGTTCTGATAGAAATCATTGTATGTTGGGTGAAATCCACAACTGCACACTATCTTATATTTCGAGCTTGAAATTGGTTGTTTCATTTTCATAAATTATGGTACGTTGTAGTCAAGTAATTTGGCTGTAAGCGGTTGTAAGAAAGGGCCAAATTTTGTGACCCATTGTGTATGCTCAGTCAAGTGACAAGATTGGGGAAGTATATCCACAACCAATCACTTCAAGGTCAGCGTCAAGACTGAGTTGGCAAAATCAAAAGCTCTAGGCAATTACAACTAAGAAAAATTGTAATGACATTGAATTTTAACTAAAACAATTTTAAAGGAGATTATTAGATTTTCGAAAAGGATGTACGGTCATTTAGTCATTGAGAGAAAGTTATTGGCATTTTGGTCAACAAAATTTTGTAAAACGTTTAAACGCAAGGTTAAATTGAAATATGTGTGTGTCTGCACTTTTCTAATGTTAAATGAATAGGAAATAACCATATAGAGTGAAACAATATTCAATGGTTGACTTTTGTTGATATGAAATAAAATAACTCGTGTATTGTCGGTTCAAGGTATAGTTATTGCATGACTAACAATCATTTTGATTGAATAGTTTAACTTTGTAGATGATTTATTGTTTGAAGTCAAGGTTAAACTAAACTTCAGTGACAACGAATCACGTTCAAGTATGCACTGATCAATTACAACCGAGAATATGAAGGCAAAAAAGGAGTTAATGGGGAAAATGGTATTTTATTTGCAATTTATAAATCTGTTTAATATGAGAAATAAAAATGTGTAGATTTTCAAAAAGTTTTGTTACTTTTGAAATCATCATCAGTCTGAGGAAACTTGAGTGCTGATAGAGTTGTAAGGGTGGTTGACACTTTCCGGCTGCCCACACCGTGGAAGGCAATTTCTTCCTAAGGTACCTGAAAGAGATTTGTGTGACCGCAGAGCCCATCGGACATCTGCTTGAGGCCTGTTACACGAAGCCTTTTGTATATGATTATTTTGAACGTTTGTATTTTTGGGGCCGGACTGCCGAAAGGAAACGACAAATGAACCAACACCGCCGGCTCAGCACGCCATGGGGCATAGTGGAGTGTGTTATTTTTGGGGCCAACCTTTTCTAACCCCCCCTTCCACTGAGAAGGCGGCATCAGCTTGGCACTGCTGATCATCCAAGTGAAACACCTCACTGTTGTCACACCCCATCCAGCTAGCAGCAGTATGACTTCGTCCTCAGACCTCCATCATAGTGTAGTAATTTACACCACAATGATAACTGTTTTTCGCCTTACCGCTATAAAACAGACCACTCTGGTATAGTAGGACCTCGAGGAAACAAACGTTCCACCAGCATAGCTCGTTGGGTCATTGTGATATGCAAGCCCGACCACCACGTCAAGGTAGAAGCTATCGGTCGGGAAACCATACTAGTGTCCATATTGCTACTCAACCATATGAGACCAAAGCACATCCCCTAGTGATTTTGTTATGGGTCTTGGAAACCTTTTAAGTCGAATACATATGTTTTCACCATTGTTTGCTTGCACCGTAGTTGTGCGATCAACTGAGCGCTGTTTCTGAACAGCAGCGTGATGGCGATAAAGCACTTCAAATAACGGTACATACGACGTACAAGCATTTGTATGTGTTTATAATGATACCCAATACTGTCCGTTTTCACTATAACTGGTAAAACAGATTCTCCTGATCTGTCCGCGTATCCACTGAAAGTGCCTTCTCTGTCCGTTGTATATACTGACAATCTTTGACTTTTCAACATTCATGTATACAACTTACTCAGGCCAATTTAATTCGTCTTCCTCGGTTATATTTACAGTTCCGAACAAGATATTCGCCTATTCAACCACACTGCCTAGTCCAGTAAACTTTATATCCAACCCATAAATTATTTGCAAGCTAATGTCTCAGCAGTGATGATACCCCTGCATCGAAGAAAATTCCCTGACATATATTAGTGCTCCTGCTGATATTTCAGGTGTTTCAAGAACCCCGCCAATGATTGAACTTAGGACCATGAAGTTTTGTGATAAACACATTACCACTGAGCCACTAGGTTGGAATAAGCATTTAGTGTTCCATGTAATCAAGTGTTCAAATCAAAGACTGGTAAGCGAGAGGTCGTTGGTTTGAATCCTGCCGTGACCCAGATGAACAGATTGTAATGCAGCAGGATTTCACATGGTAGTCGGATAAAACTCTTGGGGACTGAAGTCGGATCAAAATTTGATCTGCAGATGGGTTTCGTACCTCAGACAGAATAGGACTAGACCAACAACCCGGAAGTTGCTAGGTTTAAATCCCATCGTGGGTCAGATTTTCACTTCATCTTCCATCATCACTCTCTAACAGTTATATCTGTTAGCCCAAGCTGTGAAAAACAATCTTATCAACTCCACATATTTCTTCATATAGTGGATTTGTTTTCTAACTATCGTTGGCGATTGGGGATTCTTGCGTATTCTAAAAAAGGGTTAGATATTGAGAGTCAAACGATGGAAAACACATCGTCGCTAAGTGACCACTTTGCGAAACTTAATCGACAGATTGCAGTCAGTGCTAAACACAAAGGGCTAGATTAGTAAATCTATATTTACCCACTGACCACCGATTCCCATTCCACAAGGAAAGGTACTCAACTTATATTAATCTTGGTAACTAGTTGAGAAATCCAAGATATGAGTTTCCTCCGATTTGGGACTCGTCAGCCGAATGTACCTGGACTCCAGTGAGTGACGTTGTTCCCACTAAGTCGGCTGTAATCCAGTACCCATTGTTGTAAACGCCAAAACGTTACTCACTAGACCAGTGGGGCACGATAGCCACCTACTCAACTTTATATACTCAGATCAGGAACTAGTGACTGCACTTCTCAAAAATAATAGCTCAGATGTTTAAAAGCCTTCTAAACTCAAGGTTATTAGCAGATATTATCAAACGTTATCTAAGTTAAACACTGACGAGATCAGTCTATGGAAGAGCGAAATGTGTCTTTTTCTAAGATAGACGTGATCTGCGTATTGAATACTGTGGACTGGTTTATGTGGCTTCCTTCTGCTCATTTGGTTCACTCGTATGCTTGCTTGGGTCATAATACTTTTATGTCCTGGATCATAAACTGTGATATTCGCCAAGTGGTTGGCAACGGAAACTCTGTTGATAGCATATTTAGGCAGTTGGAGATAAAACTATTCCTTTGTGATAAATGGCAACTTGGACCAAGCAAACCGTCAATAACTCAGACGGACAGTCAGACAGACAGAATCAATGCACAACATCACACAAGTTCGTTATTTCAAGTTACCACACTTCACAGTAGTATATAAAGGACAAGGAGAAGGAAGATCTCAGCCAAACACTCTACATCTCTCGATATGACTGAGACTAACACTCGAGGACTTCATCGACTGGGGCCACTTCTTGGTCTGGTGCCCGTAACCTTCTTTTAATGTAATACAACTTCACCTAACATGGCAATTAAAGACAAGTAGTGGTTTGGTATGCGTAGTATGTATTTGAGGCACCTCAGTCGATGAAGGTTGCAAACCTCATGAACAGACGGAAGTACGAAATAAGAACCATTGATTCCCAGCTCAGTGGCTTAATGGTGACGTGCTGGCCACGGAACCTGAAGGTCCTGGGTTCGATCCCTGGCAGAACGGAGTAGTGGATGCCCACCGCTGAGGAGTCCTATACTAGGACGAGGCAGATGTCAAGTATTGTGAGGTTTCCAATGGTTCTGGAACCTATATCTGATGAATACTATCTGGAGGTAATAAAATCTCCCTAAACTTTAGAGGACTCTAGTGTGAATGGAAGGGTGTGTGGCGTGTCTCTGGTCCAATTAATCAGTAGAGTCTATCTCTGAGTTTCAAGAAGGTTGTGGTTCTCTTCATTATCGTTTTTACAATCTAAAAGTTTTCTGTATGAAGCTTCTTCGCTGAGTTAGGTAAAACAAGAGCTATAAATGCAGTAATAAATTTTACAGTTGTCGAGCTCGATCCCAAACCAGTCAAACCATCGTCTGGTAATCAGGTCATTCTGTCTATGAAGTCTATATACAAACCTGAGTGATTTCTAACCACTCAAATTGTTCAGCAGTATATCTAGACAGTTCGTGACACTTGTGTCAGAGACCACACAGTTTGACCTAAGGCGACTGCGGGTATTTTCCAAGGGAAAGCCTGTAGACACCACAGTTGGATGTTAGAATGAACCGTTCAGTTTGTAAATTATCTACTTTAGGTACACAGGCCAGCCCATTCAAGTTGCCTGGATGGCCAGATTCGGGTGATCAAAAGTAATTGGATATGAGATGATTTCCTTCGGGTACACCAATGGTGAGCTGACTCGGTATCAAGTGAAGGAAACGGCTGTTATTTAGTTAGATCATTCTTATCTGGCTGACTGATAAAATCTACAGATAAGTCTGAAGGCCTTTTAACTACTCAGTTGTTCAATCTTGTATTTTGAAACAACATCCACTTTTGATTTACAGGGACATTTTATTTACAGTACAATGAAGTTTGGCATGATACTTGTAGAAGCTTGTCTGTACCTAAAGAAAGTTGGACAGTTCCGTTGTGTGAATTGATAACGTTTATGAGATTGACAAGATCAAACAGAGGGGGAAATGAGAGAGAGCAATCTAGTCAGCAACTGGTTTTCGATGCAAAGTTGTCATCGGTTGCACAAATAAGCTTACTGTCACAATCGGCTTTCATATTGATGATTAACTGGAGTTTGAAACAAGACCCAATGTTTCATTATTCGCTTACAAAAACTCACATGTTCTTTGTTTTGAATACTTTCAATTCCAAAAGACATCCCGCCAAGAAATTCGCTAGAAAACAAAATATAACACGAAAGTAACCTTGGGAAATTATCGAAGAACAGTGGAATTATATAACTTTAACTATACAAACACATTATCTGTGAGAGTCAATCAATGTATGTATTAGATTGCTCGCTTATACAACTGGAAAACATGAGTAATTGGACACAATCCAGGCTGATTTAGAAGTTTCGCCAGTCAGATCAGAATAGTGTGAAACAGTGGACGGCTATTTTCGACTTGTTGGAATCTAAACTCACCGGCGTTGTAAGTGCATTTATTCAAACCTTATGCAAGTAAACAGCTGACGAGATAAGCCTATAAAAGAGCGAAATGACCTTGTTGACACCACATTTAGGCAGATGGTAATAAAACTACTCACTTATGAGGAATGTCAACGTGGATCGTGCAGTTCGTAAATAAATCAGTCAGACAGATAGAATGGACGTAGGACGTTAAACACAAAATATCACACTTCACAGTAGTATGCAAAGAACAAGTGGAGAGGAGAAGATCGGTAACAAAACAAATAAAGTTGTATAGGATGAAAAGGAAATAAAAAATCAAGGTTAGTCGAAACGTTCATGTTTAGGCAGAAGTCATAGAGTGCATACATCAGCACCATTCTGACAGACTTTCAGCCATGTCATCAAGAGTCATCAAACACTGGTTCCTGTTGTCTCGATGATACCAGCCATGTGGTTTATATCTTCCCACGTGGGTCAGACCAACAGTCAGATACTTTATGGACTGGTGCCACGTCATGGTCCTGTCACCCTTGACCTTCTACGAACCTAAACCAAATTCGCCCAGCATGGCAAATCGTGGTAGGTAGTGGCTCGGCCATTTCAGTCGTCTTAGGCTCACAACCTCATAAGTCGACGTCCTTGATTTGTCTAGCCTCAACATTCCTAACATAATGATCTCACCACAAGCGAGCAGTGCTATGAAGAAATCTGTGATCAAAACCCTGTAACTGTTTCATGTCTTCTAATTTCAACGGCTATTTCCCACAACCGTATAACTGGACAGAACAAAGTGTAGTGTAGTTCTGTCATCCTTTAATTGATAATCAGATTTCTCGTTAGTCAGCACTACAGATGACGCAAGTTAACGAATTCTAAGCCGGCTTTTCGTATCCGAGCTGAGATTCAGTCCACAACTAGCCTTTTAAAGTTGATACAACTCTCAAAAGTTATTGTAGTGGTCAGCGCATTCCTCCACTTCACTCTCTATTCTTAAAATAGAAGCTGTGGCAAAACATTCCGTGGTGCATCATCTTACACATATGACAAGTGTGAAATACATGCCAAAGATGCCCTGAATTTAGTCAGCATCTTCATTTACTAGGACAATGTCACCTAAGCTAACTGAACGGATCTTACGTTTGTCAACGGCACAGTTCTCAGAAAAACAACTAGAGATCATAAACTTTATTAGTAAAATATGTGGTATCTACCAAACAGAGATGTCAGATAACGTCGAAAGGGCCATCTGGGGTAAAAAGATCTAATTAGCGTCTACTGGAATACTATTTCAGAGCTCTACTTTTTCACTTATGAGACTCTTATAATGGACAAGTCGATCTGAAAGAAACTACTGGAACTAGGATGTATTTAATGGGTGAATTTCTTAAGTTGATCGGTTGGTAGACTCCTCAGTTCAGTCATGTTACACAGCACATCCGTTTATCAAAGCCAAACAACCTTTCTTCCTTGTTAAAAATCCACATGTTGGTCAAGGTGATCCCATCATTCTTTCAACAATTTGTCAACAAAAGAATTTCAGATGACAAGATGTCACTTGTACCATCCAGCCTTTGAAGTCATTTAATTGTCCGGTATTTTTTCGAAAAACTACATTTTTTCAAGTCTTTCACTGAAAATATATTTCAATTTCGGGATTTATGGGCATTTGTTTATTGATTTCAGGTTGGTGTTCATCATGGACTGAGATTCTAGTTAGGGAATCGTCAGCAGTGTCCATCCACGACCCCACTATAACAGACATGCAACTCACTAACGTCAGGTCCCGTGGCCAGCGGGTTACCAATGAGCCAGTTGGTTATGAACTAATGATCCATATTTTCCTACTCCAAGTAATACTATTCCCTGATGAATACAAACTAGAAATACCCACATGTTTGAAAATGTAACTACTGACCAGCGCTCGTTAGTAACATGCTTCGAGATTGGACTGTCGATATTCTGATGAGAAATTATGACCGGTCGAGCAAACGTAGTCGTGCGTCAGGACAGGTACTCGACGATGGTATTGGATGGAGTTTGCGCTATGTTGGGAACTGACAGAAGTAAGAAATGTGAACCGTCCCATCCAATGGCTCAATGACAAAGTACTCACTGCAAGACCTGAAGATCCCTCAACAGAGTTCTAGGTGTCCTCTGTTATGGAGTTCCTTACTACTGCTCCTAGATTTCCAGTTCTTCCCTAACTGACGTCAGTGCATGATGAATACTAACCCGAAAATTCTTTCAATAATCGGGTTTTCTTCTTAGAATTAATGTCAATCTAGGTAGTTTGAAATTCAAAGTTAAAACTCGTCTCACTTCTATGTTATTTTTCAGACAAATTGATATCACGCAGTATCAGTACTATTCTGCTAAACGACTGCTGCTATCTCTGATCTTCAAAATGATAATCAGCATGATACCTCTCTCAGCTCTGTAATTCAATTAGACTTGGATTGTAATGAGAAGTCTTGACCGGGCAGCCAGTTTGAGGAGGATCAAGCGGTAGTAACGAGTCACGAATTCACATGGTAGTCTTGGTTGTGCTACCTTCTCTAAGCTCATGGAACGCAACACAACAAAGACCATCCACCTGAGCTACAAATATTCTCCACCATTTCATATAGTAGTCGAGAGAAACCCTAGGTGATTTAAGTGAAATAAAAATCTGGTCAGCAGTCGAACCTTGGTGGTAGAGCATCGGGTCGGAAACCCTGTGGTTCGAATCCCCTGCGGCCTAAATGTTCATTTCACCTTCAATCATCATAACCCAGTATGAATACTAGTCTGCCAAACCATTGCTGTTATCTCAGACAGCCAAAATGATAATAAAAAGTAGGTTGCCAAAATATTGTCTAGCATGTAATAAATCTCCTCATTATCAATTTGATAATGGTATCTTTCAATTGAAATTTTAACATTGACAATTGAATACTTCTGAAAAACTAAACAAGCTGAATGTTTGTTTATACGCGTAAACGTGTACATAATGTTAAATGTTCAACAGTGTTATTCATTTATTATCAATTCCTGTTTATCATTTAAACATACATATGAATTTAATATTTTTATTAAGATAAATTGTCAAACACCCATGGTTTATACATTATCTTCTTGGTGTGTTGATCTTCAAGTGTCATTTGTTCTACTTTCCTTGATGATGAAATTTCATTTTGTCGCGGTATTTCGCCTATTCAAATCTTAACCGCATGTTTTAATTATCGTTATAAATGTATATAAACAAAAGGATATAGGTAGATAAATAGTCACTTTGGAATGGTGTGCATGTCTTATTTATACGCCTGATTATGAAGGTAAATTGTGAAAGCATATTTTTTTTAGTGGAAATAACTAGATATTACTTATATTCGGCACATATGACTAATAAACGACCACCTAAGTAAACTAAAATGGTAGACAGTCCTATAGGTAGATATTGTCAAGAGGACTCCAAGTTATTTACAAGGAAGAAATATGGGATATTTAATGGAATTCCGTGATGCTTTAAGCATAGTATATTTGGTTTTGTGACTATTTTATACACTTTGATAATACTTTATCAAATGTACTTTTCTGTAAGAGTGTCGACCCTAAAAAACCCCATTATAATCCATCTTAAATGTTGGAAATTTTATTTGTTTCCAGATAGTATTCATCACCATGTGACATCATTTGGAGAAAGTTTGAAAGCCTTGGAGTACTGGATAGCTTTTCATCCCATTATGGGACTTTTCAGAAGTATGCACCCATGACCCCACTAGGGGTCGAATCTAGGAATTTCAGGTTTCATTTGGAATGTATTAACCATTCAGCCACTGGGTTGGAGTTTAATGACTCACAGTTGCTTACTTCTGTCTATTAGGTGATATAGTGCAACTAACCTACAAGATCTTCAGTTGGCATCTATGTTACTTCTGACTAATTAATCCCACAGGTCATGGCTTCTCTAGAAAACGTAAACATTTTAATCTTAATTCCTGTCATTAAAGAGGTTTATAAGGATCTCATTTCTAAGGTAGTATCCGGCCTAAGTATTTATCCTAGTAGAGAACGTATGTGTGTACCGCTTAAGTTAAAACCAGAGTAAGTCACATGAAATAATCGAATTTTTATTTTGAAATGATCTTGATTCACATTGATGTTGCAGTCAAATTTTAAGCAACATTTGTAACAGCTATCAAGTAGATATTCATAGTGAAGATGATGAAAAGTTCACTGGATTAGCAGAGATCGCCTACTGGTATGAACAACCATTCTCCTCCGAGGAATCCTAGTGTGGAACGAGTATTCTTACCCTTCTCATTGATATTCAAAGTTGTGTCTTCTTCCTTTCTTGGCCTTTACTAACTGACTGTCATCACTTTCTGTGCACTATAGTGGTGCATTACATACTACTGAACTACGTTCTTATAAGTAGTCTTTACCATAAATATAAGCGAAAAAGATTATTTGGATCATTTCATTTTCCGATTCATAAGTGATCATCGATAAATGACTCACCAGTAACTGACATGAGTGGGCGCAGATAATTCATATTCGGTTGGGACATTGTCAGTCTCACAATAGCATCAACCAATATGGCCTTGGGGACAAGTTAAATGAGATTTGATTCAATCTCATGTTTCTATATTAAAGAATTCACCGTAAAACTTAATTCTGGTGATTTAATTCTGGAGCTGAACCTGGGATGATTACTAACTCTCCCACCTACATATACTTTAGAAAAGCAAAGGTAATGAAAATTCGATACTTATATAATCACTACTAATTTCGGCACTTCAAGATACCAATCAGTATGTGTATACCAGTCTAAGAGGAGATCAGTCGTGGCCTGAATAGTTCAGTGGCGACGTCTCTGACTACACGGTTTCGAGCCTCAGGTGAGACACCATTTCCGTCAAGGTTGTTGTGGAGTTTACTCTTATCAGGTTCCCATACCACCCAAAAAACTGCTCAGCAGTGTGCTTGTTACCACTTAGTCATTGAGTTGGAATCCGATAGCCCATATTTGCCACGTTTTGCCGACTTATAATACGGTGCAGTCTTCTACCAATACCATTGGTAAATGTATGTCCTGGAACCTAATGAAATCGAGAGTTCTGACTGTTAAGGAGTCGTGGTCCGAAATGAAAAAACCAGCTACAAATTTATCCTTTTCAGAGTGATGCTGAGTTGCAATGAAAAATCCTGTGAAATTCTTCATATGATTTGCTCTAAAATATTGCTTGATGTTTCCCTACTTGAAGCATAGATTTTATAATCAAGCTTATGTTTATAATCTGATTTGCAGCTTTCAGTGGAGTCTGGGACGCGCGTTTATCCTGTCTCAGGCTCACCAGCTGGACGTGCCTGAATGCGTGTGAGTGATATTGTTCCCACGAAGAGTCAAACCCGCTACCCGTCCCTTTAAACGCCCACGCCTTACACAAGAGGTGGCTTTCGTATCCCTCTGACTTAGTGGATAACACCTTGTCATTTGAAACGATCCTTTTCGGGTTTGAGTCTCAGTGGGAGCAACATCACTCATTACTGCAGTGCGGGTAGATCGAGTTGAAAAGGCAGTCTTAAATAGGGCGAAAAGTATATTTCGAATTCCACTGACAGTCACCAACCAGAATACATCAAGATGATTAATCAGTCAGTATCAAGGAATTCGTATAGGAGCTCACCTGTGAACAGAAGTCGCGCAATTCTACCCAATAAAGCAACGCAAGATTACAAGTGTCAAACAGCTTTACAAGATGTTTCATTTCTGAAGTAATAGATTTCCACAACAGATTAAAGAGTATACTTCATTCGCCACTTTACACACTTGCTTCGACTTCACTGTGTACAAATGTCTTCATGCTACAGACATAGCATCTGTGATGGACAGAAACAGTGGAAGAATTGTTGAAAAACCGGCATTCCGGACAATATGACCGATTCTAATCACTGGTATACTATACAATTAGCCAATTCGTGAAGTGTTCTGGCAAGTCGTTGGCTTTTTGAATTCTTATGATCGCCAATCAATTAAATTCGTTAGCTAGAGGATTTTTAACAAATCTCTAGATAAATGGTACTGAGCTAGTAATTAAAGACCGGCGTAAAACTGGTGGAATAATCTAAGCGAACAGAGAATGATATCAAGATCGTAAGTAAAAACTGGTCACTGCATAGTTAGAAAGTCTGTGACCTTGGAATTGAATGATATAGATACAGATATTCACTGAAACATACATCGTCTCCAAATTGTAGCCTAGCCTACTGATTAAAGTGAACATATACAAAACCAAATATGAATTAAGGCTATTTTATCAGCTGGTTTCCAATAGATTGGTTGTGGCTAGCAGAGGAATCCAGGATGAGCGTTTTATCCTAATTGATACTCGTCAGACTTTTGGCTGTCAGTTAGCTACTGTTTCAAAATGCTAAATTCGCATTCCTAGTACTTCTACCCTAAGATCATGAAAAATACAGATGTATTCTTGAAAATGTTTTCACCATTACGTCAGTATATATTGATGATGGATGATGACTAGCAGCAGAATCAAGATTGACGTATGTTTCGTCCCTTTTGGGACCAATCAGCTGGATATACTTGCCTCCCATTGTGTGATGTTCTTCCCATCAGGACTCGTACCCAGGGCAGATCACTTCAAAAGCCATAGTCATATAAAGCAAACAGAGGGGAAATCGAGATATCCATGTGGAAGCCCAAATGTCGATCAAGGCCAATCAATTCGGTTTGTTCAACGACGAGATAATACAAGCAACAACATTACCTAAGTATATTTGAAATCGTTCGGAAATCTTGCTGTTTTAGGATTTTATGCAACTGACTGGTGACAGAAGTTGAAAATCTTAGTGTTAGCAAATATAAGCCTTATAACTAGTCCAACACTCCATGATTCATTTAGTTCTACCAGACGTATTAGATAAACAGAAAGACAAAATCGACGTAGAACCTCATACGCAGGCGCATCACTTCATAGTAAACAAAGAACAAGTGGATGGAAAACTACTGGTAAAAAAGTAGATCAACGTGGATGAATGGAGAGGGAAATTAAAAATTGAAATTAGTCGAAACATTCAAGATTTGAAAGACGTCAAGAAGTGAATAAATCTGCACATTTGTCACTAATTTTCAGCTTCTTATAGTCTCAGGGACCGCATTCAGACAGTCTACTTTCCCCTACATGGCTCAGACCAACAGTCACAGACCTCATCGACTGAGGTCATGTCTTGATCTGGCCACTGTGAACCCCCTCCTAACCCTATCCAACTAACCTATTGTCACAGCACAGTTACTTGGTTGAACGACAGTGATATGTTCTACACTTAATCGACAAAAACTGCAAATGATCCATCTACAAGAAAACCAGTCTTTCGTAGAAGGATCTACCGGTTAGTTCAAATAAAAATTTGTTTTTCTTGCAATCTGAGTAGTTCCATAAACCACAACAGTAAGAGCAGTTATGCCAAAAAAGAGAATAATTAGTAACAACTTCACATTGAATGGCCTTACCTTTCTGATTCTTGACCAGAATGAGCATAAACTGCAAGATGAATTCGTCGGCCATACTTTGCTTTGTTCAAATTCAGAAGAAATTCTTTGTTATACTGAGGTGTTGCGGGTTTTCAACAGTTTGTGTAGTTTGCTCGAAATGATTGCCTTTTTCTGGTGTTATACTTACCTATAAGTTGAAAGGGAACATCATGGTTTGATGAAAACGTTATTTTTTCAGCCATTATTTTTGGAAAGAACTTATGAAGAGGATAGAAGTTTCTGCTTTAAAAATGTAAGCTCCTAAGAACCCGGAATTTACCCAGTAGCTTTTACGATGTGAGACAACACAGCCCACATAGTCTTCTGAAACCATTTAAGCTTATCTGAGTATCTTTTTGTTGGTGTTAGCTATTATGAAAAATGCTAGCAGAGAAGTGTGCCCTACTAAGGTAGCATATTTTCTATTCATCATCGCCAAAGACCACCTTTCACCTCAGGAAACTTCTTGTTCCTTCAGTGATTCAAATTTATGCCATTCATTACCAAAATTGAAGACATTCTCACTAGGCTATTAAGATGACAAGTGGTCCTCTTTGACGCCGCCATCATTCTCTTTATTCGTTGAGGTCACAATGGGATATAATGATGCAAAGCAGCACCGTTTTGCTGTGTTAGAGTTGATAAATAAATCAACAAAAATTCCTAATCGACCCCAAGGTTTACTTAACTTTCTAGCGTTTCAATAGCTCATTGTTTTCTGTCTATCATACTGTTGAATCTAGTGACTAAAGTCAGTTGCAGAGAAGCATATTGTAATGCCTAAAAATTGCGGTACGTTTCTTCATCAATAGAATTTGATTCCTCTTTCTAACTTAGTATCAACACGTTTCTTTACCTGTTGAGACGAAGGATGAATGACAGCCTTGATAAAATTTGCTTCCAGATGAACTCCTCTGCATTTCTAGTGACTTTTACGACTTGTCATACAAAATGATGGAAAATTGGAAGTATGAAAAATTCTATTTTAGCCTAATGGCTGAATGCTGAAATACACATACTATGAAGCCTGACAGTCTTAGGCTTGAATTCTCGTTGTACTGTGAGTGCTCGCTGAAATAGGATGCATAGGTTGTGTTCATTATCAATAATGTTAACTTAAAACATGGGTACAGTGTAATGTGGAGTATAATTTTATATTCGATTGTTCATTTGATATTACATAAAGTGATACAGTATTACTAACTGAGTGAAGATGCTTCGAGCAGAATTTATTGTTTATATTCATATCCCAAAAGGAGACATACGACTTTTGAAATCCCTTCACATATATTCCAAAAGTTCTTCATTCGTTCATTTTATTGGTAGATAAAAGTTTTTACTATCGGTATAAAGATCTACTGCACTCAGCATGAAGAACAAGATCTGGATTTTTACCATCAATGTCAAGTCAGTTCTCCTATATGGTTCAGAAACTTGGTGCGTACCGAAAGGTATTTCCAACAAACTACAGACATTCATCAACAGCTGCCCACGCTCGACACTGAAAGTCAAATGACTAGAAAGAATAAGCAACAAGGAACTGACCCTGGAAACAAACCAACCAAGCAGGAATCTATCCCCCAACAAATATGCAGACGAAAAAAATGTGGAGATGGATCTGGCATACACTGAGAAGACCGATTGGGGACATCATGCGCCAAGCCAGGCCGTTGAGTGGAACCCGAGTAGGAAACGACGAGTTGGGCGTTCGAGGGTGACATAGAGGAGATCATATGAGGAAGAAATGAAAACTTCTGGTCAGTCGTGGAGCTAGGTTCAAAAGACTGCGAAGAAGGAGTGAAATGGAGACGTGCTACTGAAGCCCTATGTTCCACTCGGAACCCAAGGGATAAATAATCATCAAAAAAGTTTTTACTAACCTTCAGTATGTAATGAGTCATTCTTGGTATAACTGTGATAGGTATTGATTCAATGAACAAAGATTCTGTGGTCAACCTATCTCTCTGCGTCCACCATAAGGCATGTTTACTTTCAGAACTGTGACCACTACATAACCGACCCAAAATGTGATTATGGGGAAGTCGATGCAGAATGATAGTCAAGTTTTTCTCTAAATTGCTTCTCTAAGTAGGTTCCACAATTGTGCGTTTCGTTGAATTTTTGTGCTCTGCTATTCTGACTGAACCAGATTGACTGCTTCGACCCATAAACTTGACCTCACAATCATTGCTTGTTATTTGATAGTTTAGGTTACTTCACTCAGTTGGCTCTACTGTATCTTTAGGCCTACAAAGTTTTTCTCTGATCGACTTTATGGGTTTAAATGCCACCATAGCCCCAGCACTGTTAAGAATTCTGCATACCAACCTACCTTCTTTATATGGCAACGCAGCAGAGTATTTGTCTTCTTTATTGGGCATGTTGTAAATCCCTCTAACGCCACCACTTGTTCTTTTACTGAATACTGAGTAGTCTTGACTATGACTCAACTGCGTTGCGAAAAACCTATTCCTTATCTTCCATGATTAGAGAGCTTTATAATTTTGAAAACCTACATAATAAGTGATAGTCACTGTACTGATCGTTGTATCTATGTTTTTTCCAACTAATCAAACTGTGAGATAACTATACTGTTTATCTGAGTATGTATTTTGTCAGTACTTTGAGTGTACATCTTATTCAATGCATAATATTGACATTCACTACTTCATCTTCCCCTAGCGAAGCAACTGAAGTTAATCTGACATAGTCATCCCTCACAAATTACCAGCTAATTTGCAGTTCTATTCTCAATACTGACTCACCATGAGACCTGATAGTCCTAGATTTGATCCCTATCAACACTAAGGATGATTCCTATACTAGGATGAAACAGTTGTTTAGTGATCCCAGGTTTTCAATGGTTCTCTGACTGATTTAGATTACTGGTATATACTACTTTGAAATAAGAGTACATCGTCATTGCTGTCAAGCTTCAGAAGCTTCCTGTATATCTGCTGGTCAAAGAGAATGTAAGTGGCCTACTCAAAAAACGTAAGTAGTGTAGATTTGCTAATTATATTGATCCAGCTAGTATAATTGTTATACTTTACCTAATACTGAAATAAAAACTGCTTTACTATGTATGTAACTGAGATATTTTATAATAGCTTATATTTGCGATACTTTTGTGATGATATGGCCTACAGTGGTAAGAAAAGTTCTGCGTGAATATTGTTCGCCATTGTGCATATCCTTTCTTTAACATGTACTTCCCTTCAGTTGATCAGGGTTTAAAACCGAACATTCAATCTCTGTGATTTCAAAATCTGGCAAACCTATTGATGACTCAACGATAAATCTTAAACAACAGTAAACAGCAAGTGATACTGCTTGAACAAGAGGGGATCCTCACGACTCATTGACCTGGTGGACAACACTCCGTTATTTGTAGTGATGAATGCTTGATTCAAGTGTTAAAAAGATGGGTGATGAGTCTATCTGGAACAGGACGAAACGCGCCTTCTGGCTGGTGGAGAATATTTATAGCTATGTAGATGAACTTGATTATGTTGTGTTATCTGAGCTAGGTGGTTTACTTCCAAAGCTTTGAGTGCCTTCCTAGACAACAACGTCATCAGTATGAAGTGAGTTATCTGGATTTCTCTATAAATGGTTAGTAGCTTGCTCTAACTAAGTGGTTTGTGACTGGTTGTTTCCTTTGATTGTTGCGTTGAACGACTCCGTAGATTCTCCTGTTGGCTGTTCTTTAACATCCAATGATCGAATCCTCAGCTAAATATAGTAGCAACAACCGAATAACGCACAAGAGTATTTGTTTACAGACTCTGTTGAAAAGAGAAAGCATGCAATACATTGTGACAAACAAACGGAGAAACGGAGAAAATCTGCTGATTTCTGTCCTGAAGAAGAATGATTATCCACGAAACTTCGTCAGAAGATGTCTATCCATTTTATCATCAACTACAAAGTCATCCACAGAAATCATAAAATGTATCAGAGATCACAAAAAAGTTACTGAGGTCATTAAGAAACAAAAATTCCATTCAGACCATATTATGTGAACCAGAAGAGGCTACAGCTAAGGAAGACAAAACAAATGTCATTTGCAAAATCAAGTGGAACCATTGTGACCAAAGTTATATAGGACAGAGTGGTCACCCCGCTCACCCTTGTTGGTTATTTAACATTACGACATTTCATCACTCATTTCAATGCACATGAACTCAACTTTGAAAGAGTAGACACCTCAAAGAGAGGAAACATAAAGAATATCAGAGAACTGGAAGCTTGTCATTCAGGTCAGTCAGCAATAATAAGATGTAGAGAACCAATCTATCCATCCATAAGAAAAACGATAGACAACATAAAAGTCAGAGGTTAGGCAGAGAAAATCGATGCATTCACTCATACACCACCAGTCAAAGGAAACAACCGATCATAAACCACTTCATCAGAGCAAGCTACTGAATTACTCATGTAGAGATACAGTCAGCTCAATTCATACTGAGGTTAGTATTGATGATGATACTGTCTAGAATGACAATGAAAACTTCATAAAAATGAATTAGGCTGTACATAAAATGCAAACGAAATTGAACCCAACGTCTAAAAATCGGTTATCATATAATTACAAAACATAAAGGTAATATTATTTTTAGTGACGGACAAAGTTTATCATTTCAAGGAAACAATACGAATCGTGGTTGCTTAGAATTGACATCACAGTCCCTAAGAGCTCTATTTAAGACTCTATAGTTATTTATAGTGAGGTTCAGAATAGGGTCCGTTTCTTTTTAATATGAGATTCCTGAGCAGTTCGCATCCACGACGCGGTCAGGGATCGAACCTAGCACCAGTGGGTCTCACTCCACATCCAATGAGTAGGAATGCAATATTTTTGATCCTACACATCACATCTTCTCATTCGAGAGATTCATCTCGACTCGTGTCAGTGCTTAACACTGATCAGCAAAACAGTCAGTATATTTGAAGAAATGAAAACGTTTTTAAGGCCTTAAATGTAGTCCAAAGTTTTGTCGGTGATCGCTCACGTCAACCCCAATATATCAAAAGTCAGAAATTGTTTACCAAGTGGGTAAAACTGTAACTTACTTTCACGAAAGAACTGCAATTCTGACCGCCACTAGCTCGCAGACCTTTGGCTTCAATTACTGAAAAGTAGGAAAAGCGGTATTGTATCATCAATAGGACTAAGGTTTTTAACATCAAGACAAATTACTACTTCATTAGTACTGTCGAAAAGAAAGTATTAGTATCGGTACTTGTATTATCCCTTCATACAAGAGGGGGCTATCGTGACTCCATGACCTATTCGATAGCCATCTAGCGTTTGGAGTGATAGATGCCAGATGAGTATCAGTGGGAATAACATCGCTCACTTGGAGCCAGTAGCTACGTTCAACTGATGAATCAGTCCAAAATAGGAAGAAATGCACCTCCTGAACTCCACTGCCAGACACTGATCATCATTCGTAGAAATTATTTATATCTTACAAATGATACCTGAAAAAACCAAGGGGTTAAACTGTTTGGATCAAGCTTCCTGCCTACAATTTTGTTTGAACCCCTCGTTTGGACACTGTCATCCTACCACCCACTACAATCAAATATTCCTTTTGTTGGTGATTAGTGTTGATTGACGGTTATTTTATTCTTTAAGACACTCGTATGCTGGTTATACTGCATCTAAGACAAGGTTCTTCAGATGGCTGAAAAATAAGTCAAAATAAGCTGAAACATCACAAAATACTCTTAGATAAGTTGTAGAACCAGAAGACTGGTCAGTGGAGAATATTTGTAGCTCAGGTGGGTGGTCTTGGTTGTATTGTGCTCTCTGAGTTGGGTTGTCTAAGAATTCTGTTGGTGAGTTGATTAAACACCCAGCTCAGAGAACAGAATCCAACCAATACTGGTTAGTGTTATCGGTTCTAATCGCTTCATCATTTTGACTAATGACTGAAATAAAGAATAATTTCTTACCTACTAGGTGAAGGTCATTCATCGATCAGCTTTACAATGGAGATGGAATCATGCACAAAGATACCTTTTCTTGATGTGTTGCTGAGACGAAGAGTTGATGGAAAGCTTAAAAGATCCGTTTATCGAATACCTATGTGAAGTAGATAATTGATGAACTTGTAAGTTAGCTAGCAGCAATCAACTGAGACTCCTGCTCTACCTGAGTTTCATGCTTATTGAGACTCATCAGTAAGGCATACTTGTCACCTCGATGGGACTCGTTATCCGTCTGTGATTTGAGCCCAAGTCAGTCAGCAATGCAGTCAGCGAAGTTAGCACTGATCTATTCGGGCCACGATTGGCCTCCTGATGGGCTGGATTATAGACACTGACTGGTTACTGGAGAGGAATTAATTTCATATTGTCTAGTTTTGAGGGCTGACTAAGTTCCATTGATCATTTTGGAGTGTGGCCACAAAGCTAGAAGGCTAAGCACCTCGGTGCACTTGGATAAATGTAAGTTAGGTGAAGGCAGTCAGGAGGGAGCCTTGACCTATGTTTTGTGCGTGTTAGCACTCATCAGCAAGGTGTATCTAAAACCTTTTCTGAGACTTGAACCTATGTCTCCCAATGTAACAGTCAGAGACGTTACCTCTGAGCTGTTCATTTACACGTGGATGGGTTCTCAACAGCTGGAAAAAAAATTTTATCCATTCCTTTTTCTCTCGACAACAGAGGACTTGTAATCCTTACACTTAAGAAACCGAAATTCAACTTCTAACAATGAAGCTTATTGCAAATAAACAACTAGATGAAAGAGGTCAAAAAACAATTCTGTTCAGCAACTCCGTTAATCATTTACACCGGTCACTCAGTGGTGAACTCATATGCGAAAGGACAAACTGTCGCTGTAGCTACTTCAATGTGCAGACTGTCAAATACCAAGTCGAACATGAGGACAGTTACTCAACTACAGCATTGAATTGAGATCACGTTATATCGTCAACTGACAGAAGCAGAAAATGTTGACGATTGGATTTCGGTGAAGGTGCTCAATATTAACGTCCAGACTGGGGGAGTGAAGGTCTTGGGTTTGATCCCAGGTGGGGTTTTAGGTATGCACTGCTAGAGAGTCTCATACTAGGACAAAAAAGCTGTTCAGTACCCTCAGGTTTCTAATATTTCTAATATCAGTCCATAATCAATACCAAGCTGAAATCATTAAGTATCCACAAACCTCATAATTGAATTATTGATTAGCAAATATTGACATTTCTATCTACATTAATTATGTTGAAACTCTGTCATGCAGCTGAAAAGGATGATATCTCCGAAAAATATTTTAAGGTGATAATAACCACGAACTGATATCATTTGAAAAAGTACTGAAAACCTGGAATCACTAGGCTGCTGTTTCCTCCCAGTATGAGGTTCCTCAGCGGTACACACACATAACCCCACTACTCATCAAACCAAAGACCCTCAAGTTTTGCAATTAACATGTGACCATCTTGCCATCCACCGGGTTGAATTCCAGTTGTCCACATTTTCCTACTTTTGTCACCTCCATCCAATTTCGTCACTGAGTAACTCTTATCATATCCGACTTAGTTTGTCCCACTGTCCAAGACTTTTCATTAAAACTTCAGTAATACTGAACAGTGGTTCTCCAACTGATGTGACTCCATGATGAATGACATGTTGACATCAATAAATCCCCATGAACCTTTAACCTGACAACAAAGGTCTTCTCTGAAGCCTTCATTTTTCTACAAATCAATGGGAATATTTAAATCTGCACTTAAGTAAATAGAATGTATAAACCAGTTGACTAACGTTATCTTTTCCCAGCTCCCGCCCTCCCTAAAAATGTTTACTGTGAAAGGTGTGGACATTGAAAAGCCTAAAATGTGTTTTGCTTCAACTTTTGTTATTCTTAAGAAGATTTTTTAGTCTATTCGTCAGCTTTCCTTCTTGTTGAGTGTTAATCTCTTGGTGAATGAAATTCGAGATACAATTTTCATGCATCTTAGTTGCTTGGAGGCGGTCGATGGGGGAAAAGACTGTCGGTAGAACGTATATGCAACCTTTGAGAAATATTCGTTGTTATTTAATATGGATTTGCTTATTTCCTATGGCCACCAAACAGCGAGTTATGCAGTACTGTTACTAAATAAGCATATCACACTAAACTTAGCAATCGTACAGTTTTCAGCATCTACTTCCTATGGTCCTATCGCTATCTCATACACTTTTCTCCTAAATGGTGGTAGAATTTTCCATATCTTTGGTATGCATGGGTACTGCGTTCTTCCTATTACATGTGTCGGGTGGGCGTTGTTTGATTCAACATACAAAGAGTCAGTGTTCATTCTCTCTCTCTCTACTTGACTATGTAGGTTTCACCCCATCCTATTTCGGGGTCTCATAAAATATGCAGAAGGAAGTAAGGATGGATTGGGCACACACTGAGAAGGCCGACTGCAGATATCACGTAGCAGGCCAGGCCGCTGAGTAGAATCCAAAGGGGAAACGACGAGTTTGGCATCCGAGGTGAGGGTGACATGGAGGAGATCATGTGAGGAATAAATGAGAGTTTGTGGGCAGTCGTACAGCCGTGTTTAAAAGACTGTAGAGAAGAGAGTGGAATAAGGCGTGCTACAGAAGCCTTATGTTCCACTAGGAACCCAGGGGAAAAATAATAATAGTAACAATATACACATTTGGGTTAATAAAACCCGATAAATACGTTTATTTTCACCTTTGTTCCTAATTAATTCTTCTCGACGAAATGGCGTCATTTTTATTTCCCAAAAAAGCAGTCGAATGACTCTCAAAATGAATAATTGAGTCTAGCTTCCTAACTTTCCTCTCTTTCTTTCCGCATTTAAATTACATAACTGAGATTTGGGAAAGGTTGTTCACTCCAGGAGAAGAAAGAGAAGACTGAAGTGTGATAATTGGTTATTGATAACTCCTTCATCTGTAGACCAATGTGGGTATTGGTATGCATAAACATCAAGGAAAATCCATTTACCAATCAGTCAGTCTACCAGTTTGAATGACAAGTCCATATGCGATTTCTGCATGCTTATATTCAGGCAATCGATATTCAAATTTAAATTAATTGAGTGTAAAAAATTGATATCCCAGTAGATTTCGCATATTCTAATATATCTTCATGCATACATACTTAAGTATGTCTGAATGAAAATCAATGTACTCATGAGAATACTTCAAGAGTAAGTAATTAGCTAATCAAATGAAATTGAAGTAATTACAGCTTGGATGTTAATTATTTCCTTGATACTTAATTTTCAACAATTATTTCTGGTCTGTTAACTTTTCAAAGTTTACTGTGATATTCACGGCAAAAAGTATTCTACCACAAGTTCAATAAACTTGGTATAATATAAATTACTTAATTCCACTTACATGTTTGAAGTATGAAATGTTGGTAGGATAAATTTACTCAATTGATTGGTCACTATTAATTTGTACACTTCTGTGCGAATTTCTCGATATTGCCAATATTTCAAGATTTTTTGAAATTATTGATGAATAACGGCTAGGAGGGTAATTTAAGACCCACATTTCGTTGTGTTTGCAACTCAATTATTAGCTGGATTTGTCTACTGCTTCCTAGTGAGTGATCTTGTTCCCATTGTAAGGGAATAAATCATATGAATATCTCTCCTGAGTACTCTATTTGACAGTACTTAGGGTTGTGCTATGAAGTGACTGCTTGTCTCTTGACTGTCTACTAGAAATGTTTATTGATTAATCTGATTCTTGTAGACAGAGTTTTGATCACATTTTGTTGGGAATATGCTTATTGATTCTCAGGTATTCAACAATTGTATTTGTTCAATCAATTTTTGCTGCATAGTAAATATTCCATACTACAGAAATTTTTGGACAGCGGCATTGTTCAGGTACTTTTGTAATTTTGACATAAATTGTTGTTGTTGTTTAATAGTACCATAAATTTACCACAAATCTCTCATAGATTTATCATGTCAAATCATGTCTCGACGTGGATGAAACATAATCTTTGACTATTCATGATTTAAGGAAGTTTGGGCAACTAAGCATGGTTAGCACTTATCCATCGATAATATATAAGTATGTATAATTACACTTGTCAATAACCTTTTGTTGTGCTACAATGTTTGAATGTTTGTTGCTGATAGTCGAATTAACTTAATGTGAGGCTTATCAGTAAAAATTCTTAATAATACCTGTTAGCCATCTGAGTAGTTTCGAAGGTGATAGATACACTTTAAAATCAAGCCGTAAGAAATATAAATTTTCAAAATTCACTACCTACTGCCAATATCTTGTTTAATACTGCAACTGCCACATACTTCACAGTAGTATACTAAAAATAGGTGGATAGAAAGAGAGTAGAAAAGCTTGTGTGAGAGAAGATAACCGTTTGTGTAAATATTCAAGCTGTAGGGTTTGTCAGTGAGTGAATACATTTGCAGCATTGTGACTGGTATTCAGGTATTTCACCAAGAGTTCATAACCAGTGATTGTCTTAGTCTCAGAGACCCCAGCTAGGAATTCTACAACTCGCAACACTGAGCAGACCAGCAGTAAGAGGCCTCATGTATTGGTGACAAGTTTTGTTCTGGCCACTGTCAACCTTCTTCCAACTTAATCCAACTTCCCCTAGAATTTCAAGTAGGTAGTTATCACAGCCTGACATCAGTTGGTGAAGGTCCTCGAAATTCTAATGAGAAGTGATGACTGGTGGGAGGAAACAAGTAGGACACCAGGATACGTTTTCAATGATGGAGTTTGATGAAATCTGAAGGTCCTAAGTTAGATCTACGTCAGAGCTGCATCATAGGTTTGAACTGCAGAAGAGTTCCAACTGTTATTACTGTCTTTAAGTATACTCTCAGCACTCGGTGGTACGACATATCAGAATCCTTATGGATCAGTGATTCAGGCCAAGCTTGTATATCAAGGTAATAATTGACCAAATAAACGGTCTTGTGCTAAATTTTTTCAAGTGTCAGACCGTAAACCATTGTTTTAGAAGTAAACGTAACCTATGTAAACTGCCTAAATGTCGTGATTCCCGTTCTATTGATCGCTGTGTATTGGAGAATGGTACGGTACGGTGTGATTTATTTTGGCGTGTATTCTTCTTCGGGGCCTTCCTGGTCCTCTCACATCTTACTAATTTCCAAAAGAATCTCCCACTTAACTTACTATACCAGAAAGCTGAAAGTATCTGGATCTTGCCTATTCTCCTCTATTGTTCTTTTTTATTCTTCCCTGGGTTGTTGTAAAAAGACTGTATTGTATTGTGTAGAACTTTGAAAATTGTCAACAGAACGAGAGTGGTGTACCTTCAAACCTTTGAACTAAAACTGTTGTAGGCAAACATCTTAACTCATTTAAACAACCGGCAGGAGTCATTTCATCAGATAACCAGCTTCCTCGTCCCTCAAAGCTTTCTCCGTATTGGTCGTCAGGCAAGATTAGGAGCAAGTATATGATACTTTATGTACATACTACTAAAAATAAAAACTCTACTACACCACACCCTATTTAGCTCATCTCCTGTATGATGAAGAAAGTGTTAGAAATGAACTAACCAATCAGCTTATGTTTCGTAAAAAGAACTAATTCAAGATTACTCAATTTGTCGTTATTTAAATAGTATGAATCTAATTGTTAATGTGACAGTTTACCACCCGAGTTAACTTTGAATTTTCAAGAAAGTTGTGAAAGGTCCTATCTTTGTTATGTGTAATGTCTACTCATTTTATTATGAAGCTGTTTCTCTCCAACCGATGCTGAATGGCGTATTCTCGAGATATCTTTCAGAATAAAGCCATTATTACTGTATTGATTATAACTGGGGTTTCAGCATACATTCAGATATTGTTACTAAGTGGTTTTACATATTTTAAAAATAAATCATCATAAAAAATATGGATTATATTTCTGGGATTCGGAATCAACTCACCTTGTAACTTAATTATATGATTTTGATATTCAATATCGACTCGAAGTTTTCCTATCAATTGGATAGAGATCAGAAAAACCAATACAAATAAGATAAATTTGAGAATAAAAAAGGAAATCTTTATTTCAAAGGCATTCACCTACATGAAATGTTCAATTTTCATTCAGTCTACGGATACTCTCGAAGTGGATTTTGAAGATTCACTACTATGGTCAGGTGACGTCAATCGACCCAGCAAAATTGGTTCCGGTATGCATGTCTCAAAAACCGCACACGGCCATGGTTAGAGATTCCAGGGTTTTGGTGAGCGATGCTTACCATCCAATTTGTCATAGAATTCGGACGCTGAAAGCTCCTACGTGAAATCGGTTGCTAGGTCTTAGGAAATTAGGAATGAGGTATCGATGGCTTCGGTAGTTCACAATGTTTGCACAGTGATATTTTGGGTTAGACCTTAGAGGTTTACTATTAGTTTCAGGAGGTGAAGGTAGAGGGGAAGACAGGGTTTAGGAGGACAAGTTATAATTGATTGGCCCTTGTGCACTACTAGAGGCGCATGGGTGGCTGACGCTTCCTGGCTCCCCACACCGTGTGAGGCTATTTCTTCTTAAGGTATCTAAAACAGAAAAAGATTTGTGTGACCGCATAGCCCAGGGGACATCTACTTGAGGACGGTCACGTACGGCCTTTTGATGCCCCGATAACTGGCTTGTGGTATGGGAGATTTGGTTGAACAGAATAATCACTTTTAAAGACATTTTCAACGTATCCATCTGAATAGTTTAATCTGCAGTGGAGGATATTCGGGTTGGAGAAGAGGACAGCAGTGGAAGTAGTAGAAGTAGTCAGTAGGTTTACAGATAACTTGTTCTCACTATTGACAATAGTGCAAATGATACAAAGGGACGACTTAGTTCCTTTTCAAGATTGTTTTCGCCCCTGTTAGATGTCGTCTGAGGTTGAAAGTGTTAAGGCGTCAAGCTAGTCACACTAGTGTGGGTTATCTTAATAAGAGTCACGGATGTACAAAATGCGGAAATCTTGACTTTAAAAGAAGCAACCCGATTAGGTTTTTGCGCTTTTCAACAGTCACTTTGTAGGGTTGGATTTAAGCTATTCCCAGATTCTCACTTTATCACAGCTGAATCGAGGGATATTTCTACTTCATCAGGAGAATCGGTTGTGTTGCATGTTAGTAGTAGGCTTGCCGATAGCCATGACTAACCAGGGTTTCGTCATTGTTGGCTCACATCAGCGATGGATGATATGTACCAAAATATATACAAAACCTAAGTACAGAGATTCCTGCCTGTCGACTCCTTTCATTTAACACCGAAATACAGCTCACCACAGCGTCGCATTACTCAACTTACTGACTACATTTCCAACTCACTTGACAGACTAGGATGAGAGATGAGTACTAAAATGTAGACGGACAAATGGATTACTCACTGGTCACTGATACATGGAACCGTTTGCGTAGTAACCAAAAGTTCGGTTAATTACGTTGCACTTGAATTTGATATTCCGGTATAATATTTTCATCAGTTATCTCACTCTCATTGATGGATAGGGGGGGTCAGCAGTGGGATTCACGATGCGCAATCCGCTTTATTTCGAACTCACTCATCGACTGAATATGTCTACCTCCAACTGAGTGATATTGTCCCCGTCAAAACTCGACCTATATGGAGGCCTCAATATGGCTGGCATTCTCAATTTTGGCATTATTGATGGAAAGTGACTAGCAACGGAATTAAGGCCATGCAAGAAAAGCAACTAGTCTCGAGTTCGAGTCCCATTTGGGGTAACATTACTCACTGGGACCCAGTTTTAAATAGTACGAGCCGCGCGTCAAGCTAGATTTCACCAATGGGCACTGTCCATAATTGATATTAAATGGGAAAATGCCACCAATGTCGAGGCATTCGTACTAGAACCTATGTGCCAATGGTGGCCGATCAACACGAAAATTTATCTGATCACTTTTCCCACTGAATAACCACGTCATTCTAATAGGAATCTTGGAGACAATTAACAATCAGGGTGAGAAGGCTTGACATATCACTGTGAAGTCGATTGTAAATGCTCGACAAGAAAGTTTCGACTACATCACATTACACAAAAGCATTTGAACAAATAAACAGCTGACAATTTCTCAGATATTTCGGTTTACATACTGCTATCCTGGTCAACAAAATCAATTTATTTCTATTTCCTGATTTACATCGGATTCTCCTTTGTCTTGCTGAATCAAAATGTTCAACCTCTGTTGGCATATGAGCTCCTATGAGGAAACCTAGATATTGCCTGAACATCTATAACGATCTTTCTACCTGGTTGTGCCTAGCAGAGGAATCTAGGGCGCGCGTTTGGTCCTTTTTGGGATGCGTCAGATAAATGTACCTGCTGTACTAGCCAAGTAAATTATCATGATAGATATTCGTGCAGTATCGAGACATTCGAACAATTTGATCCAGTATGGCAACGGAGAATTACAAGTATATCAACAAACAGTAACAACTAATACCCGTTGTACAAGAAGTTGCTATCAAGCCTCGTGAATATAGTGGATAACGCCTTGGCGTTTGAAGCAATGGTACGAGGTTTGAGTTTCCTCAGTGAGAAGAATAACACAGTGGGAAGCACGTACACCCACCCGATGAGTCTCAAACAGAACGAAACGCGCATCAAGCTGCATTCTTCTGCTAGCCACAACCAAGTGGAATGATTTGACTGAAGAGCTGTTGAAAGAAAGGCGTTGACAAGCTTCATTGTGATCTTATGAATGGTAAACAATGGAACCTGGTGCAATTTGCTCATCTTCAACCGATAATAAAGAAACAAAATTATATCACTGGATCTCCAGACGTTTATATTCAAACTGAATGAGTTCATTCAGTCAGGTGGGAGTGTGAAAATTTGCTTTATTTCAAAACAGGTTACTGCTGGCAAACAACGACTAAGTATTGAACAGATGATTCCTTCTTACTGAAAAGTATTTCAGTAGTAACGGAGTGCGAGCAATTCACTATGCGGCCATTGTACTACCTTTACACAACTAACCTATATGACTCATTTAAAAAGTAGCCAATGAATATGACTGAATTTTTAAACAAAATATAGAACAGTATCACTCAAAACTAAAGTTTAAATGGCATAAAAAGCGAATTGTAAGTAGGGATTGAACAAGGTGTTTGAAGCGATTATATCCCTTCATTTTGTTCACATTATGGTTGAAGAATGTAGATCATCTTTTAAATTCAGTATGGACGATGATGCACAATTCACTGTAGATGTCAGAAAGCTGTGACAGATCCTGAACACATTAGACAACAATGTGTACAATCTCCTCAAAGTTGATGGTGTAGGACAATTTTGATCACCAATGTTGACATAAAGACGAATAAAAATGAAATCCTACCTAAGACAAGATGCGTTTTAGCAACCATGACTCAAATAATCCAGTTTCCTGTTCATTTGTCAATCAGCTCAGGTTGAATGTCGATTTCTGAAACGATCACATCTTGAGCAGTGACTATTCCATCTAAAGATTTGTAGTGACTAATTTATTATTTTTAAGTTGGTATTCATCAGGGAATAACATCAGTTGCAAAACCACTGGAAGCCTGAAAGCACTAAAGAGCTGTTTTGACTCACACTGTGACTCATTAATAGTGTGTATCCATCACCTAGCCCCACCAGGGATGGAACTCAGGACTTTCAGGTTCTGGGGGCTAGCACATCATCACTGAGTCATTAGGTCGGGATCCAATGGTCCATATTTCCTACTCCTGTCAGTTCACAATAAAGCACAATCCCTATCTAATTCTATCTTTGGGTAACTGTCGTCTATTTGGACTAGATGTGCCCCACTGGTCACCATTTTTCATTAGAACTTCAGGATATCTCATCTAGAAGCGTGTCACTAGGGAGCACTAGACAATAATTCAATCTGGTGGATTTTTGGGACTTACCTATTGATTTAAGGTTTGTTTTCATCACGCACACAGGTTGGCGACATTTGGATAAACGTCAAAAGCTGAAGGCACTAGAAAGCAACCCGATCCTAGTGTGGGACACCTGAAGCAGTGCTGATCCGTAATCCTGCCCCGCCAGGGGATCGAACACATGACCTCAAGACTCCGCGACTAGTGCTCTGCCATTGAGACACTAAGTCGAAATTACGAACGAGGTGAATTAACAATATAGGTCAAGGTACGATTCGCACTTGTACCTGGATTCATACAGCAACTGAGCAGATCCTTTCAAGATATAAGTAAAATCAAGGCCTGGTCAAGTGGTGGGTCCTTTAACCAGTGGTACGAATCTTGTCACCACCTAGGTTTTTGCTGCATCCATAACGTGTGTTTATCCTTGCTCAATAAAACGTGTTCTCGTTTTATCAAGTACTCAGTAACTGGTGCCAGTCCACCTTCTATTGATGACAAATGAAAATGGATTTCTGTAGACGACGAATTCTTATCTATTTTGTAACAGAGTACGCTTCAGTAGTGATCGACAAGAGATAATTGCATAAATTCTTTAAATGGCATAAAAATATATGTGCTTAGATAGTCAAAAAATAAAATTCTACATGGTTGAACTATTTCATGATTCAAAATGGATGGTTAAGCCTGAAATTCGGTAGAATCCATATATTCCAAGACAAAGTAAGCCTAACAAATTACTGCTTGTAAGTAGTACTAGTGAGAGAAGTATGCGGAGTATTAGTGTGAGTAGTAGTAATAGTAGCAAAAGTAGTGTGAGAAATAACAGTAATATGAGTGGCAACAATAGTAGTTTTCACTGGTCCCTTATAATTTTTTAAAAATATTTCATGCTGTACTGTTATATTTTGAAGCTTCTTTTTCGAATCTATATTGTGTTTTTCCTCTTTCAAATCTGAAACCAAAATGCATTTAGAACAAGACATATAAGCAAACAGTATTGTTTTGAATTAAATCCACTTCAGGCTTCACCCTAATATATAAGTATATAAACCCCGAAAAGGTAAAAAGTTAGTATCGGAATTCCAATGCACATCTTAA